TTTTAACAGGAAGAAACCTCCGGCAGAACCAGGCTCAGGGAGGGGCGGGGCCATCTGCTGCGACCGGTTGGGGTGAGAGAAGGAAGACAGGATAAGGCTCTCTCTGAATTCTTTTCGTTTTCCTGTTAAAATCTATCGGAAAGAGAATAAAGGAGCTTCGACCCACAAGATTAGGCATGACTATACAAATAATAATACAAAAAAAGTGTACTCTAATTTGATTCATTTTGTCTACAACGAACACAACTAAACATTTGTAATTATGGCTGACTTTAAGCTAACTTGTCTGGCTATGGATTGTTCCAGATAAAGATTGTTGGACTTGCTCATCTGACCGACATTCATTAGCATATCTGGCAAGCTAGCTTCCTACTAACAGTATTAACTGGGCATTACTTCCTTAAGAATACCGCCTGCACAGATAGCAGGTTGGTCCTGCTTGTCGCAGTCGGAGGTCCTAGCCATTGTTACCAGCTAAGAGTCAAAGCCATAAATTATTACCCATTCTGTGAGTTGTTTGCCTCATGACATTGAAATAAATTATATTTATTGAAATATGAACACATAGGCAGCATGGTGGCGTGGTGATTAGCATTGTTGCCTCACAGCAAAAGGTTCATGATTCGATTCCACCATCTGGCCGCGGCGTTTCTGTGTGGAGTTTGCATGTTCTCGCTGTGTTTGCATGGGTTCTCTACGGGTAATTTGGCTTCCACCCACAGTCCAAAGACATGCAGTTAGTGGGGTTAAGTTAATCGGTAATGCTAAATTGCCCATCAGTGCGATTGGTTGTCTGTCTCTATTTGTTAGCCCTCTGACAGACTAACACCATGTCCAAGGTGTACCTTGCCTCTCGCCCCATGGTAGCTAGCATAGGCTCCAGTGCAACCTAGCAAGGATGAGTGGAATGGATGGTTGGAAATATGTCTGTGAAGGTTCTCAGTCATCCAAGTCATCGTAGTCTAAGGAGCTTGGAAAGAAAAGCTTCTGGAGTTCTTGGAGTTGCTTGAAGCCGTTTCACCTCTTCACCCTTTTGGGGCGGGGGATACTCCCACAGGACTTAAATCTGGGACTCTCCACCATTTCAATTCAATTCAATCTTATGTATATAGCGCCAAATCACAACAAAAGTCGCCTCAAGGCGCTTCATAGATACAGAGAAAAACCCAACAATCATATGACCCCCT